ACATGTCGATAATTTTGTTTTACATTTGTGGGAATCATGACCGCCTCATCTTGGGTCTCCAAACAATAATACTGGCTTATTTACAGGCCCATTAATGTTTGCACGGGATTGGCTTAGTTTTGTTCCTTATAGGAAATTCGACTTGTCTTTACCTCGACAACACTGCTTTTGAAAAATTTGAAAAAAAAAAAAAATGTATAAAAACAGTAAACTTCACACCGCTGAACGAGCCCTGAAAAGGCTACGTAAAATGTCTTACTTTAGTTAAGATACTTAGAACCAAGAAGCTTTCATGTATCAGAGTGAAAATTTTCATATGAATGATTTACTAACTGACCTTGTCGCGAGTTTCCTTCGGTACCTGTTTGTAGGTATCAAGAAGAAGCTTTAATTCCTTCTTGTCCTCTTCAGCTTTTTTCAGTTGGCTACGCAGCTCCCGAACAATTTCAGCATCTGATTTACCTTTGTCTCGCTCCAGCTCCTAAAATAGTCTTCACCCAGTTAGCAATTAGACTAAAAGAAAAGAATAAGGCTTATGTTTTACAATAAAAAATGCCATCATACTGAACGTAACAAAGAAAAGCAGGAAAATCAAAGAAAATAAGGAGACAAAAAACACCTGTGCATTGTGCGGCGACGCTGGCGAACATACCTCGAGATCGAGCATAATCTCAACGGTATCATCGCCATGCTGTCTCTGGCGCTCAACAGATGGCGCACTGTTATCTCGAGTGCTTCCGGATGAACTCTGTTCCGCCCCTGATGATGTCGCTTCTGAGGGCTCACCTCCTAAAGAGAGGTTCTCACAGGATGATGTAACAAGGTGGTGACCTGTCGAAACAGTAAGCAAATTGCAATTATAATGTAGGACTTTTTTTCAGTGAACCCTGACTACTTCTAGCTACGGCTTCGCTGTCTGCGGTGAGCGCTTCAGCCTCAGAAAAGTATGCTTGTTACTATTATATATTGTCGTATTGTGAGTTACAACCTTCTCCTTCGATTTTTCGCGCTACCTTGTGAGTTGAGCTCAGCGCGGAGGCGCGCAACCTCAAGTGTGGACTCCTTTAGCTTCCGTTTATACCGCGCGGTCTCTCCTGTAAATAGGAGCGGTGTTCATAGCCGTATATGGAACAATTGTAGAAATTATAAACTGAAGGTTACTAATTGTGTTCTGCGATGTTTGGAAGATAACATTGATATGTAATGGACTATCGCTTACTACGAATTATTCCATTTACGACAAAAGACAATTAAGAACAAATGTTCTTAATATCCTACAGTGGACAACATAGATCATTGGAACAGGTTTCGTAAAGGCTTTTAAAAAAGTGGATCTCAGTTCCATTATACCGCAATCGATTTCAATAGAGCTTTACACAGCAGTTTTTTGTCACTGTGCTAATAAAACTTACCTTTAACCTGTCTATTGTGCGCCTGAAGCGTCTGTAAGAGATTCCGCATCTCTCGAGTGAGCGGTGCAGCTTGTTCACTAGCTGTGACATTCTGCTCAAACTCAATCCGTAGCTTTTCATACTCTTTACGAACCTGATTAAAGAAATAGCATACAAAAAAATTTAGAGAAATTTAACTAGCACGTTTTAAAAGCACACTTAACTTCTAAAATATTGCATGTAACACAAATAAACGCCTCTCCTAGTAACGCTGTCTATCCAATCGCTAAGTGAATGATTCGCAATTATAAAATGATTTACTCTTTCCAATCAACAGGATGAAAGTTGGTGGCCCATGGAATCGAAGGCCCGCTTCTAGCTGTATAAAACCTTAGAAAAGACGGGAGACAGAATGGGTGGTTATTTACAGCTTTATAGCAATCTGTATTGTTTACAGCTTACCTGAAATTAAATAAAACAAAGTTGCCTTATCAAAATAGATCAAAACAGGTTTCAGCAAACAAATACCAAACGAGGGATCAAAACAAACTTACTTCTGACCGTACGAGACCTTCAGTGTAAACATTCGAAAACAAACGCTAAAAGAACTATTAAAAGGTATGTAAAATTCTAAACCTATACACTGCTTAACGAGCTGATCATTCTTTTTTGAGAGTAAGAATAGTTAGAAATATCGACTGAACCGAAATTAAATTTTGACCAAAGAATATTTATTATATAAAGTACTATTAGATATATGAAAATGTAGCAGAAATACAGGAAGGTCCAGGCAGAGCCACTAGCGCGACTTACAATTAATCGGATAAAGAAAAAAGTTTGAAACAGACGGAACTGTTCTGTATGTTCATGGATAACGTCTCGGAAGATAAAGAACATTAACCAGTCTCGAGAAAGCACTGGGAGCTTATAAAGAAAAATCCCAAAAATCTGAGATGATTGAGTCGTGAGCTTGGAATCACCAAACCCAGTGATCCTTCGCATTTTAAGACGTAAATAGCGAAGGAAATTTCCAACAGCGGTACAGATTAATCAAGACTATAAAATCGAAAATTTCAATTCTATGAATTGTACTTGGAAAAATGTGAGCAAAGTGCACGGTTTGCGGGGAAAGATTGTTTGAAGCAATGAAACTATGTTAAAATTATATTGCACAAATATCCGAAATGTTTTTAAAATAACTGTAAATACACATATTACGGAGGAACATCATGTGAAGTTACTAGCATTTACAATGTGATATGAAATTTCAAGCAAAGGATATTTTCGGTCATTTACTTCTAAAATATAGGTGTCAATTATTTGAATGTACTACAAGAATCTGTTTTACCGCGCAATTGGGAGGACTTGGACCAGAATAGCGAATTTTATTCTGAACGGAACGGGGCGCCTGTACAGAAGCATCGTCGTGTAAGCGCATATTTTGACGAGAATCTTCCAAATAGATGGGCTAAACAAAGAGACCGTGATCTACGCTATCTAGACTTGACGTCAAGAAACATTTTTCTACAGGGGTATTTTGGAGATGTTGCTTACGCCAGGAAACCGACAACGCTAGAAGGTTCTTGAAAGCAAACTGAGTAACAATGCGTGATAATACCACATGAAATGCTTGTTAAAGTTTGTAAATCAAGAATCCATTATTACCAGCAACGTATTTATCACAGCGATAATAATTTCGACAGCTGCGGTTATAGGAGAAGTTACACATTTTATGGATTCTATTAATAAACTAACAATGAGTTATGATCATTCGAACTATAGATGCGTTTTTTGGGACATACTCTATTGGTTATACCTGTGCTAGTGCATCTTCTAGGCGAATGACTTCTGTGCGAAGTTTTTTCTGCATTGCGAGCTCTTCGCTTTCCATTCGTTCAATCGTCCGCTGGTGTGAGAGCCGAGCGCCCTGTAACTGCTGGCGATATTCCTCAAGCTGGGTCTGAAGTTGCATGCTTTCATTGTAGAGTACACTGAACTGAGACTGCAAGCATTTGTACTCAGTGGTTTCTCTGACGACGTGTTCAGGAAGATATTGGAGATCCATTTTAAGCTGCTCGATCGTACGCAGTGCTACCTTATGCTCTTCATTCAGTTGTTCTAACTCTTGAATTCGGCCCTTTTGTAAATGAATACATAACCACAAAACGTAAGGGATGCTTAAGGGAACTCTTATGGGTACAGATTTAATAATAATTAATGGATACGACTTATGGAGTAGCTCGTACTTACTGACAGCAAAATACATCTACGATGTATTTTGCATCGTAGAAGTGGGTGGTACTATAAGCCTTTATAGCTGAAGATATCCATATTTCGCGTATATGTTGCTTTCATTATTACAGATACAATTCACGAATTTACATAAAGGTATCTTTCTAACCAACTATTTTTGGGATGTTAATTGAAATGATTAATGGCGACTAAACACAGATTGCTTTGTTCCTCACCTCAATTCGATTGATAACGGTATTATACAGGTGATTGAAATTATACCTATTTATAAGTTATGAGAACAACCCTACGGTGTAAACAAAAAATACACATTCATATATTTTTAAGTTTAAACACATGTGCTTAGTATATGTAATGCACTAACGTGCCCTTCACTTCTGAGAACTAGACGTTTCCACCATTAGGTAGGATATATATATATATGTATATATACACTATAAGAGGACTAGGATTAAAGGCTGGGTACTTCTGTAATTTTTGTTAATCATAAATGGCTAAATACCTGAGCTAATTCTCTTTGTTCTTCAAGTAGAGACTGTAGTTCTTCTACGCGCACACTGGTAAGGGTTTCTGAAGGTCCCTGACAGCTATCTTTGCTGCTCCCTTTGTAGACTTCCACAGAGAGGCAGCCCTTTGAAGCCAAATCACCTGCACCCTTGTCACCCATTCCCGCCGGCATTGATTGCGCCTTAAGCCGTTGCAGACAATCCGAAAGCGATGTATCGAGCTTTTCGGAACGTGCCCAGCTCTTGTGCAATTCATACTCAAGTTCTTCAACCTTATTATTAAGTTCATCGTTTTTCGTCTCGAGCGAATCCGCTCGGTCCTGTAACGCGCTATGTCGAAGCTCTGCGCAGTGGTCCTTTTCGCTAAGACGCGTTATCACAGCTTGGAGACGGGCGTTTTCATCTATTAACTCCTGGTTGAGAGCACGAACTGATTTCTCCAACAACGATGCTGTTGCCTGCTTTCCATTCAACGCCTCCATTATCTGAAGTAAAAACAGGAAAAATTATGTACAAAACGTTTTGATGGCTACTCATACAAGCCGTCATAAAAGAAAGGTAATACTAAAGAATTTCACCTTTCACAGAACTCTTTTTACGCACACAAAAATATGAGTCAAATACATTGTTTGCCCAAAAAAAATGTCTTTTTATCGCGGTCGTGATCATTGTATAAACACTTTTCTTCACTATAAGAATATATTTGCGGCCAAAACAGCAAGAATGGTACAGGTTAATTCACGTGGATAAATAGATAACAATCGTTTGCCAGCCATACCTTATGATTGCGTTGCATCAGCCGGTCAAAGGCCTGCAGTAGTTTCGACACTGCCCTTGTAGACACGAGCACTCGCTGACCAAGACGTTCTTCGAGCTCCTCCTTGTCCCATTGTGCGAGGGTTGCCATGAATGAAGTTGTTGCTGCATCTTCATTTTCTTTTTCAATCTCGTCTGCCGTCTCTGCATCGAAACGTTGGAGCAAAATGCGAAGATCTTCATTTAACTGATTCCAGTAGCGATTTACTGTCGTTAACACACCTTCATCGCTCTGTTGTCGCTTCTCCAGATGTTCGATTCGACCTCGAAGTTCTTGTTCATGTCGATGTCGCTGTTCCAGTCTAAGCAAAATGTAGTGAGCATATGATATAGGATAATAACTTATTAATTTTAGTAATTAAATTATTTGGACCAACGTAATATGTTGTGCAACATTTTATTGTCGAACACAGTTACAGAGAAAAGCTCTGTTCTAGGATTAAAATCACTTTCTTCAAACGAGTTTGATATGTAAATGCCCTGTCTGGATACCGGACCTCTTTGCATTCGTCTTGGAAATATGGGGCTTGGCTAGCGTCTTCTGATTGCAACAGTATCCATTAAATTTACACCTCCTTTTCTCCCTGGTTCTGCGTCATTATTCCAATACTACCTCGGCCGAACGGGAAACGATTTTATTTAAAGCAGAGCTCAGGAAGGCTTTATCCTTCGTTCTCGATTCTGTTTTTTGTTTTTTAGCGCCTTCATGACCATCGTCGTGTAGCCGGGAATTACTACGCAGCTTCATTTATTCGGCAGCATCCAGTCGTTATGGCATTAGTCCTACATGGGCTTCCCATTCTTCGCTCGACTTGAACACCTTCCTTTTCAAAGTTTTCAACGTCATCACCGCACCCGTAAGTAAAAACCGCTGTGGCCGGTCGGGATATAGTAGCTTTTGATTTTGTATATCAAGTTGCTTGATGAATGAGTACTTTGCATAATGCTGACCACCGTTTATTGCGCATGATCTAAACATATACAAGCCAGACTTGCAATGAATGGAACAATTAGTACCTGATTTGCTAATTTATGCGGTCGTACCTTTGTGCCAGTTTCCGATTCTGAAAGTGCAGGGTGCGCATGTCCATTTCCTCAAGAGTTGACACCGCACCAAGTTGCACCGGTTCGAAGTGGACCTTCTTGGCCGGCGGGCCCTCCGCTACGGAAGGCCGTTTCGCCATCGCGCAGCCGGCTAGAGTACAATTAACAATAAAAGAAAAAAACAAACGAAAAGACAGCAGTTAGAAGATACTTAAGTATGGTTGACATATACCTTATTATAAATTCATCATATGAATAGCACTTCTAATCTATAAAAAAAGCCAGTTCGAAGCTCTGACAGGCTAGAGTTTTGTATGGTTTTGCACATCCTTTTTCAGAACAAAAAAGAAGCAGATGAGATAGGCAGAATTATCATAGTATCTTAAACTATCCACGAATCCTATAGATTAAAAGTTTTAAACTAAAAAATAATTCTACTGGAAACTATTGGACAAAACAAATCCTTAATGCCAACAGCAAGAAGATGCTTTTGAGAAATATAAAAATCACCCATAAAACGCTTGTGAAACATGCCATCGTAAATCAAAGACCAAGGAGGTTACGCCTGGAAGGACATTTAACATTATACCGATGGCTAATACAAAGTGATCATGTAGCTGACCAAATAATAGGCCTATAAATTAATGCCACAGACCAAGTACTCCTAGTACTCGGTAAACTCTGACGGGTACGCCAACAATGTGTTCCCAATGCTTCATATTACTGTACTCTTCACAACTGAATAACCGTGGAATGGATAGTCTTATTTGAATCTGTTGTATTTCTGCAGACACATCTATATGTGAACGATCAATCTTCTAAGTATTGGCGGATGATGTGAACCGGCAGTACAATTTCTATTGAACACGACGACCATATGCATGCGCTGATCCAGGACAAAGCAGCTAAGAATAATCTAAGAAGCGAAATTGTGCAAGGGCGTCATAAAATCTCATTCACTTTTTAATCCATATGTGGTGCTTGATTTTAAGACATTGAAAAAGAAGATAAGAATAGTTAAAACATCAGAAAGCACTAATCTGACCAAGAGCTGAGGTATAATACAGATTTCTCAAATGAGACATAGGCCTCTCTATCACAGCTGTTTTGTGATTGTCAACTGAGACATTTGAGCGGGAAATTGGGTTTAAACTGAGCTGGCTAGCACAAAAATACACCATACGTAATCATTATAGTCGTATATATGAGAATTAACCTTTTTGGCTCTAACCTACGACAGTATCGAAATTTTAGACTGTTATCCGTCTATCCTTTGTAATATACTTGGATTTAGACAACTAAAGATACTATTGGACTGCTTGTGCTGATGTATTGTACAGCTGAATTTTGAGTCAATTCGCATTTTAAATTGGTGACTTTAGATGTTTACTGAAATAAGTAGACTCGTATTCGGTACTTTTTTCATCATTTAATTTCTAAGAGTATCAACTATCAACCACAAAATAATCCATAAATGCGACAAAGCAAACGTGAATTATATTACAATCTAATATAGTCAGAAATTGATTAAATATTCAATGCAAGATTTCCTCTTCTGTTGACAGTCTGTGACAAAGTAAATCTTTGTTGGGCATTTTTTGCTCTTTAGCATTTACAACCACAAGTAAAAGGCTTCCACTCGTCAGTTAGTCTGATGTCCACAAATGAAAAAGCAGCTATTTGATTAATAATCACTACTCTGGAGTTAGCCAGTATAAACAAGGCAACCACACTCCTATATCCAGATTCTAATTTGTTCTTACTCAATACAACCGAAATAAATGTCAGAGTTGGCTAACTAATGACGTTTTATCGTCTTTACGTTCATGATGAGCAAATTGGTTGGGCTTAGTTCGTCTGAATGATGTTCATTAATTGAAAAGCAAAAACTCACATTTGGCTGAATATGACAGATCTGTTGCGATTTTTCGTTTACATCGAGACTCATACGCTTACAATTGTTTAAACGGGAAACAATTTATTGATGCTGTAGCTCGGAATCGTCCTTTTGCCAGGTTAATTTATGTTGTTAAGGTTAAGCAAATCCTCAAGCAACAAGTTTTTGGTTGCACTCATTAATTCTTATATTATTTCAGCAATCGCACGCCTATGCAACGTCCAGTAGCTTGGACTATATGGGTTAACGATTGAATGAACTTAAGCTCTGTCGTGCGATGCTAGAGGCCGGGGGAAGGGGGCGGCGGCTCTAGGATCCGCCGGGCTCTGATCCCCAGCCACATGTAGCAAATAGAATTCAAAGGCATTGAGTCCTCTCCCGTACCGTGGACAGGCAAACGGCCACTAGAAAGCCAGCAGCAGGCAGCAAAAGGCTACAGTCTAGCCAATTGAACGATAGTGGACGCTGGGCCTTTGATGCATTTTCGCTTAGCAGTTTGCAGCAATGCTACGATTCCGTCGACTAGCACCGTGATCGTTGGTGTGTCGCGAGCACTCACCTGTTTTTGAGTCTAGAGAGGCAACTACTCTAGGCAAATTCGTCTCCCCCGCAATTGATGGCAACACTTCGTTCTGACTCATTCACTGTTGTGATAAATCCGTCTGTGTGATGGACTAGTGCTGCTGTTACTGCTGCTCTGAGTGTCTCTCTGTGTGTTGTATGTGTGTAAGTGGTCTGTCTGTCGGTCGGTCGGTCCGTCCGTCCGTCCGCTCGTCCGCCCGCGTGTATTGTGTATGCTGTAGCGCTTACGAGTGCCGTCCTCTCGATGAAGCTGGCGATCTGTGTTTATGCGAATGCGTGTCCCGCAACATCTACGGTGGGAGCTGGATATGCTGCTGGCAACGCCAAAACACACAGAGGACTGCTACACCTAACTCGTGTCGTCTGCTAATCGACTTAATCGAATATTTTTTGTATATCGCTTAGTTGATTCTCCCGCTTGATGGTGGCGATGCTGATTTTTGCTGGCTATAACGAGTAGTGAGACGATTTCCGGGGTGGGCGCTTTCAGCAAAAAAAGGGGAGACCAGGGAGAGGGGAACAGAAAAGCGAGCACAAACGATTGCGACGAACGCATCAAGGGACCGAATTCATAGTGAGCGTGGAGGGATCAATTAATAGAGGGTAGGAAAGGGCAGAACATTTAGGTCGAACTGTGGCGCGATATTTTTGAATCGTCTGTTCATCATTAGTACATTAAAGCCATTTTCCTGTGATCGTGAAGTTGACATTTGTTCCGTAGTCGCGAAAGGGTTTGTAGTCTTTGTTCTCCGTGGAGTGGAATTGTTTTTTTCTAATATTTCTTATTTAAAGCACTACCGTTAAGTATTGCAGTTGTTCACAGCATGATTGTTTATTGTATATTGGTATGATAACTTAGTTGTTGTCATATCGCAAACAGATAATTCTAATTAGGTATCGTAGTGAATCAACTTCTTGTTACGTTTGACTATTTTTGAAGAGTACTTCTAAGAACTTTTTCGCATATTACAAAGTTACAGAAGCGTAATATGATTATATGAAAGAATTATGATATTGTCTAGATTGTTGGTTATGAATCATACCTAATTTCATTACATATCAACTCCTTCTTTTGTAATGTTCGAGTAACTAATTTCATCAGAGAGGGAAGGGTCTTCTTCTGCAACTAGATTACCTATTCAAAATGTACATCAACATATTACAGTGTAGTGTTAAAAAAAAAGTGTTCTTTTTACTTCTAATAGCTCATTGGAGAAACGGACTACGGCCTTAACAAGTCGCGGCTAAGGTATAGCTATCGGCCTAAAGAAGGCAGTTTTCTTACCTAAAAATCAAATAGAACTAAGCATGCGAATGTATTTAGTCATAACTCTATCATATAAACAATAGCCGATCATCTTTTTTAATCCTATCATCTCTTATAGTCCTTTTTTCACTGAAGACATAATTTAAGCTTATCCGTTATTAGTGTGAAGTAATTCTGCACTAGCACAACAAATCTATAATACATAAGCCCAAAACCTTGTGTCATCTATGAGCTTGCCTCTATATCATGAACAGTGCAGATATCGCTGTTTACTATTAGGAGAAAGAAGTTAAACGACAGTTGTTCATCTGCCCGATCGACTCATATTATGCCATCGTTATAACTAAATGAATAAATGACATTAAAAATTATTTCAAATGTCTCAGTATAATCACATTACTAGCTATCCGTAACAGTAATGTACAGACTTACACGCTCAAGTAACACCCAAATACTGAGTTAATCTGAAGGCTTACCCGTTTCATGTGCAGTGTTTTACAGTAGCAGAAAAAGATTAGTCTGACCTTCAGTTCATATAGACCTAAGAGAACAAGGTTACTTCATAGCTTACCCAGGACTCCTAAATGTACGAATGATAGGGCTGTGCTTGGAGGTACATATTCGAAGGCAAGCCCAAGCATGCTTACAATGTGAGGTACAGCAGCACATTGTCGCGGATAAGCCTGGCACACAAAAAAGGAATGGCAATTTCCAACGCTAACTGTAAAGGATGTGCTAACGTCATGGCACCTGAAACCACTTACTAATGTAATGTAAACGCGCTGCTTACGCATAGTAGAAGCGAGCAAGTAACATATGCCCTATACGCGCAAAATAACACAGATTTAAATTTTACTATGAACGATCCCAGCAAATAACTAATGTCTTGTATGTTTTAGTGAATATAGTAGTCAATAAATGTAATTTATTATTACGTTTTGTGTATGCTTTTGTCTATGGGACGTATACCAGAACTTTTTGACCGTTATAAGCGACCGTTATAGTTCTGATCAAAAGCTTTTTTCAGAAAATCCTACGTCATACAAGCTAGAAAATAAGCAAAAGGGATGTACCTATGCTAAAATCTATTATAATATATTAATCTGAGTTGCTGTATGCTTTGTGCCGTCGCACATGCAGAACCTGTTACCCGTATTCTATCTTTCAAATCAAGTTTAATTGTGTCTGATAACCGTACGTATACACGTTAGTTTAATGGTCATCTAGCAGTCATCTACAATACGATAAAGGAAAACATGTCAATCATTTTTAATCCGATAGCAAGTATGCTCCATATAGTTTGACTAATTGTTTATTCCTCTAGTAATGGCGTTGGTGTGTGACCTATGGTAGAGGACGCAGGCATCAACTTAACGAGATGTGATTTACTATGATCAATGTCCACAGTCATTATGTTGAATGGCATAAATTGTATTAGTTCATTATTCACGATCAACTAGAGGTACGTTACAGCGCTTAGAAATAACGGCGGCGCTGAAGATAGGGGCTTTTTCTTCCTGTAACAGAGTGCACGGTTTTAGACTAACAGTAAATTCATTTCACTCATTTTTCTTACTTTTAAAAACTATACAATTAAAAATTAGAGAAACACAACGGCGAGTGTCTCAACAAAAGCGAAGCCGAAAGAGGAAGAAGATTGTAATGTTTGAAAATGTTTTTTTACAAAAGCTTCATACTAGGGGCAACAAGAGTTTCAGTTTTTATTGAGCAGATATTATATCTAGAATAGACGATGATACAGATTTTGTAGAATAAAATCTCAATTTTACTATAAACGATTAATATATACGAGGCTTAGATTTACTGCTTTAGCGTAATGGCCGGCGTAAAGGCGGCCGGCGGTAACATATGATAATGACCGCAAGAATAATTATATGGCAAACTAATTTTTCGATGTACTTGGCTTGATTGGTCCTTTCGGGCGCGCGGCTAATCCTATAATAAACGAAAACGGGGCCTGAATTTCTCAAACTGTAAAGCGATTTTTCGAGCTCGCAGTAATGACCGCATGAACAGATTCTGCGAGTGATGACGGTCTATCAGCATAAGTTCTCGGAAACGTAGAGGGAACTCTTGATTCGACGATGTTGAACGGGTTTTGAAATTGTACTATCGTTTAATATATTTCACAGAATACTCAAAGTGAAAGAAATTAATCAATCGGACAAAAAACGGATTTGTTTCGAGCCGTTGAAGATACAACAGATATACACAATTGTACATTGTTTTCAACCCTGAAACGGAAAGCTCGACTCATTCAGTGCGCTAATACTTTGCTGCTGCTGCTGCTGTGTTATTTGGAAGCGATTTTCGAACTACCGTAATATGAAGTATGAATCATTCAATTGAAGTTAATAGAGTTGCATTCTCAAACTGTTCTATATATAAAGCTAATTTTAGCACAGGTTATAGTGATACGAGACCATGTTTTTCGTAGATTAGTATTTGAGCGTCTGAGTTTTCTTTCAATGAAGCCGTCATCGTTATTCTACAGCTTTTTGGCTCTGTATTTTGTCGATGACAGTAGCTTCGATAGTAATTACGAAAACGACAAGGATATAGATAAACGAATCAAATGCTTCTTATTATTGACAAGAATATTAGGACTCTTAAGGACGACTTTTTTTAAACGAATTAGCTTAAGAGGCATAGCATAGTTACTTAGTCTTAGAAAATAACTAGATATTTTTCTTCAAACATGAAAACATCTCAATGTAAAGTTCTTGTTTTTCCAGTTAGTTACTTTAGCTGCTTATAAAATAGGGGATGGATTAACTGGCATTGGTTGAGCTCTTTTCAAGCAAATTAGTCAGATATAAGCAATTTTAAGTATTTTATTTTTGGCAATACGTAGTGCAGGACCCTGAAGGCCAGAGTTGTGTTATAGCATATTTTTAGCGATTTCAATTCTTTGCGTCTTCAGTATCGTAGCCCCTAAAACGTATACAACATAACGACTGCAGAATCTTTTCAAGATACGGATGCATATACCTTACCCTTTATCCTTCGTTCTCCTCGTCTTATCCTACTTATCGCCTAGAGAGTTTATTTTCCCATGATATAAGTTTTAAGATTCTATTCAATTTATTTTTAGTCCAAATACTGTAAATTTAATATTGCCACCTGTATGTTTTTTAGCTTAAATTCTAGCTAGCACCAGCATGTGTCACTCAAGCCACATCTAGCCCGATATATATTGATATATTTTTCATGTTAGAAATTGAATACGGCGCCCTCGGATGCCCAAGCTTTATAATAATAAGAGCAACTCACGGTTAAATACGAGGTAGTGGAATGGCAAGCAATATTATTGACGACTGTATAAAGGGATAGAGTACTGCAATGGTGAACTAGACTTGTTTTGCCGATGAGCTTACAGACATTTTAAATGACGAGAGTGCCACGGCAACTAGTAGAATTGAGGGTAAATACTAGTGATGAGCTGAAAAATGTATCTGCGATGGTAGCAGACTCCGATAAATGCCTCTCGCATCAAATGATCTGAAACGAAAAATTATAAAATCCAACACCTGTATTATTTTTCTGTGTAGTTTGGCAAGTTTGGGAGTGTCTCGAAGGTAAATACTGTGCATTTGACCTCCTCATATGACCTCCTACTTCATCAAAATTGTGGTTGGACCTAACTCTCGTCATGGCAGTACTAAAATGAGAATGCTGATTCTAGGTCAGAGCCTTAACATGAAGACACTTTAACTATTTTTAAACAAATGGCGGAAGATTCAAGAGTTTTCGTATATGATCGTGCACTTTTTATAAGGATTTTAGCAACACTAGCGGCAATTAGTCTATCCCACAACTATTATTTAGGTATGGTTTGGTCAAGGAGGTGGCTTAAGAAGGCTTACGTTTTTGTAGGTGGTCATGAACTAATCCTTGTAGTCGAACCTTCGAGTGTATCTCTATCTTACCAGTCCAGTGAGGAACATGTTTCTGCTTTTTGGGTCCAATGGGTAGAGGCCGAGTAGCCTATTTTGTATATTCTAGCATTGGCAAGGCTGGTTCGACTTGAAATGGAGTCTCCCGAGTAGCACCGCTCTGATAGGGTTTCCAATGGAGATAGAAGTCTAATTGAGTCTGATATTAATCAGTTATGGTGATTTAAATATTCGTGTTCTAGTTAGTCCGTAATCCTGTAGCGTGTATCGATTGTTTGTTCCCATCACAATTAGGCCATCATCGCATTCAAAAGGCATATCACGTAGGGGCACAAAGAGCGCATTAACTTTTAAAACTCCGCTCCAATATTTGGGCGTTCGAAAAACGATCCAGCCAGCCACAAAAACCAGCCAGCGCTGATGTTTTAAAAAAAAAACCTATTGTTGAGAAAAAGTCCTTCTCTCGCCAAGCCATTAGATTTATTTCTTATATATATAGGAAGGAACGGCCCAGAGACTGCTTGTAGTGGTCGATTCACTATAGAGAGGTTAAAGAAATGATTGACAAAATTAAGCAAGACCGACACGTTAGTAGTCACAATTAAACGCCCACTGCTAAAAATTTTTTGAGTATTTTAAAGACTTGGCTACAAAAAAGGCTTGACGTTTTAGTGCCATACGAATTGATATGAAAGAATTGATTCGATTGTATTCCTATCTACGAAACGTGACTAAAGTAGTTGCCAATGGATGATTAAAGACAGATCACATACGAAAACAATGCGTAAATAAAAAAGGATTAAAAAATATTCTCTAAT